ATTTCGATGTCGTAAAAATTTATCAGATTACAAATTCTTCTTTTTTACTTTGACTTGGGATTGATAACAATGTCATTGAAAGCCATGATGGTGATTGTTCCATCGTTTAATATCTGAGGTGACTTATGAACCCAGAACTCTTGTTTCAATTCAATTAACTACTCAAACTGCAGATAGCGATTAGAAGAGGACCGTCCGTACAATGGTCCAACCAAGAGCAAGATTGGGACTGTTATGGGGAGTGGTTCGTTTTAGGGGCAAAATGGTAATTTCAGTCATGTTGGTGGAGCATGAAAATTAGAAAGGGATGTTCACATAAATTTTTTTTGAAAATAAACCAAAAAAAGAAGACTCGGGAGGCAGCTGGTGTTTGTTGGTTTGTGGGGATTACGGAGGCCACGCGACTCCCAATGGGAGACTCGCATACTTCCAATTCATCTTTTTATACCCACCACTCTCTTATCTCTTCATATCTTCCTTTCATTCCTACTACACTGCTACACTCCCACGGTACTATCCTTAGTAGAAGATGGCCCTGCAATTGCAGGCACCCTCAACACGATGCCATCTAGCACCACCATCTCCATTAGCAGCTCCGAAGGGCAATGCCGGCCTACGGCGGCCGTCGGATCGTTTTGCTCTAAAGTCCTCCTTCTTCTCATCACATAGCCTATTGCTGCTTTCTCCTAAGCAACAGCAAAAGTCTCTTGCTTCTTCTGCCGCACCCAAGTTCTCCATGCGTGTTGCCTCCAAGCAAGCCTATATTTGTCGCGATTGCGGGTACCATATATAACTCCTTCCTTGCTTTGTTTGTGTTGTTTTGGTTATATAAAACGTTATTTGAATTGGGTTCTTGTTGTTCTTGTTGTTCTTGTTGTGTTGATGCAGGTATATATACAATGACAGAACTCCTTTTGAGAAGTTGCCTGACAAGTACTTCTGCCCTGGTAATTTACTTCGTCTTACATACGGCATCCATTTCACCATCAAATTTACAGCCTTTAAGCCCCTTTATGTACAAATTTGTTTGGTTTGAGGACTTTATCAATACAGACACCAACAAACAACCCTTGTAACTTTATCATGATGGAAATCTGTGACTTGCAGTCTGTGGTGCTCCCAAACGGAGGTTTAGGGCATACCAGCCTCCGGTGACCAAAGATGCAAACAGCAAAGATGTCCGAAAGCAACGAAAGGCGGAGTTGCAGAGAGAAGAAGCAATTGGGTAAGCCTTGATATTCCTTTCAGTATGAACTCAAATATTTTTCTTCCATGTGACGAATTGGACACTTACATGCTCTGCTTAACCTGGAACAGGAAGGCACTGCCTATTGCTATTGTAGTGGGAGTTGTGGCACTTGTTGGATTATACTTCTACATTAACATCGGCTTTCAGGGATAGATAGTTTCATAGCAGCTGCTAGGCTTTCAGGGATAGATAGTTTCATAGTAGCTGCTACTGTAACATCAAATGGATTGGGCACAATCATTTGTATAATTTCATTTGATACACAGAACCATATCTTTCTCTTCAATTTGCTTTGATCACACCTGCAATTCAATGCATAATAAGGATTAAGATATACCATTTGAGTTTGATAAGCGGCATGCATGAGTTTGTTTTGGACCAAAAAACTTGTTCCAGAAAAGAACTCACAAGAAGTTACCTTGACCTGCACAAGTAGAAGGTTGAAACAAAAACAGGCCCAAAGTAACAATTGAAGAAATTGCAGATACAAATATTTTGATAGCAAAACTCAACATATATGGAGTTTCCAGAAAGAAAGCTGATCTCATGGGCATCATAACAACGCAGTCATGAGTTCCTGCAAATATCCATTGCAGTAAGAATTCACTTCAAATAAAAACACTCTCACTTCCAATGGTTAGGGATGCATTCCTGAGCATGTTGGCAACTTTTCCATGTACTACACCAACCTTTCATACACTCGGCAGAGTGGAAGATACTAAATTTTGCTTGTAACATAAAGTAGGATATTAAAGAAAACAAGACCAGTGGGAAAAATAGGATAACTGACAGGAAAGACAAATAAATAGACTTGAGATACCAAAAAAATTTGAACATTTACATAGGATGGTAATATGTAACAAATGATTATTCTTGCAATACAAATGAACCCTCTATTCTTTTCTCCAAAGACTGCTGAATAGGAAAATTTAAAGAAGAAAACATGTCATTGGTACTAGAGGCTGGTGCAGGCTTGAATTCATATGGACCTTCCTTTGGTCCCCAAACCTGTAACAATACAAAGAAGTTCGATTTATTCCTGGAAAAACTACAACATTAAAACATCCAATAAGGTGATTAGAGTGATTGAGTAAGAGTAGAAAAACTGACTTGATTTCCATCGCCATCATATCCCCTATCCCAGGCATGTATCTCATTATTTTTAAGAATTGAAAGTTCTGAAGTACAGTACGCTGCTCCATTCTGTTATACAAGGGAAAAATGATATCACTTAATAGTAATAATTTGATTCATTGCAGTTTCAAGTAACCCAACTCTTATCCATGGGCGCAAAACAAGGTCTTCATGTGATCAGCTCACATTAGAGGGGAAATTAAAAAGACAGAGGAACAAACAATTACCCATAGATTAGGGAAACTGTCAGGCGCAGTTGAACCTTCATATAGGCAGCGTTTCCCACGCTCACAACGTTTCAGATGTATTGTTGTCAAATGCTCTGCAATATCCTGCAGACAGATACTAAATTTGAATAAATACTTGAAATTATGTCTGTAAACGTAAATGTTTAAAAATCAGAGAATCTGATGCCTGGGAAAAAGAACAACTCCAAAGCATAAATATGATTTTAAGTTCTTACTCACAAGACCTCAGACCTCATAGGCAAGGTTAGCATAGAGAAAAAATAAGATCAAGGGTCCCATGGTACTAATGACTTTACCCAAATTATAGCATTTAAAAACAATTCAGCCTTGTGAAATTCTGAAGTTTTCAATAAGTCCATCTTAGATTAAATTTTGAAGTAACATCCTTTCTCTGAAAGGTTTGATGTAATAACTTCTATCAGGTTGAAGCTAGCCAGTTGAAAATCAGCTATAAACTCATCTAACATTTTCTACACCTGAACTTTAAACTGCATTTGTAAGCCACAATAATACATAATATGTCTGATACCAGAGAACCTAAAAGTATGCATTGACAAGCTAAGATCGTGAGTTTAATGTGCTTATGTGACTTAAAACTAACCCCGATAACTTCTTCAGGCAACGGGCGCTGGTCCTTTGAGCGATCACAGAAATTCTTGTACTCCTCTGCATCTCTAATTGCATATGAGCTTAGCTGCTCATTAATGAGAAGTTCAAAATATTAGAATGTTACTGAATCCCAAGATACATCTCACATTCTAGTCACATGCTAGTCTGTATGAAGTAAAAGAGAGCTAGTAATGATTTACTCAATGAATAAATCTAAGATAGACATCGTAAATGTAGGCTCCCCAAAAAGGGTTGGGAGGGGTGGAATTTTAGTCTTTTAATGAAATAAGAGAAGTTCAAATTACACATAATACATTACAATATCATTAACAACATGCTCTTCAAATTAAACTGCAAACGAGATTAAAAAGCTCACCTCAACATCACATTTCAACTCTTTGGAGCAAGGCTTCACCATATAAAATCTCTGCAAACAGAGAGCACTAAGAATCACTAAAGAGAAAAAGAAAAAGAAAAAACCCAGGCAAGTAGGTAAGAATTGAAGGCAACAACATACCTGACGAAAGGGCTTCTGAGGAGTCCTCCAGAAAGCCTAACAAAACACACATATTTAAGCTTAGATTTGCCACAAATAACAAAGTCTACAGCAAAGAAAAAAGTTACTGGCTTTGGTGTAGAACTATGCTTACTTGTTCAAAATACAAGACCTTAGAACCATCCACCATTTCAGCTGCTGGGCAAGTAACCATCCTGCAACAGAAGCCAAAATATCATCCAATAATCAACTACAAACAACTCAAACCAAAACCCAATTGAACTGAATTGAATTGAACAAGAAATGAAGGAACAATTGGCCCAATTGGGTAGTTGGAAAACTGGATTTTTGGACCAACCTGATGTTAAAGTAATGGTCAGGATCTCTAGCTGCTTGGTCTTTGGAGAACTTCTCGCCGGAAATAGAACGAGAAACAAGGCGGGCATGGTCCCAGCGGGTGGTGGACTTTGTAAGCCGCTTCAGCACAAGAGCTCCACCTATCAGCACCAGCGTCTTCACCACTAACCCACGAGCCACGCTCCATCCGCCTGAGGAATCGGAGCTCCCACCACCCGGCTCCGACCCGATAACCATTCCCTTGATTTTATTGCAATCTCACTGCCTCTCTGTGTTTACTACAACTGCAACTCGTACCATTTCAATTGCACTGCCTATAGAGACTCGGCCACGGCCCAGATCTCCAGAATTTTGCGTATAAAACCTACTTCTTTTTTCTCTAATGATCAATTATGGAGACGGGAAATTGATCAAATGGGTTGAGTTGGATTTGTTTGGTTCATCGAGACATTTATCTGGATTTCAAAGAGAAGTGTCGAGCTATTCTCGGCCGTCGGCTTGTATCATATTGGCGCTGTAGTATATCACTCAACAAAAGAAAAAAGAAAAAGAAAAAGAAAGGAAGAAGATAAGTTGGGTTGTGTTGTGTTGTGATAAACAGCCCATAATTGCTTGGGCTATGGGCCAACACATATACATTTTCAAGATCTTTCAAAAGCCCGGCCGATAATAGTTTTCGGATCACGATGATCCAAATATTGTTATATGAACAACGATTTTTATTGATAGTCTGACATATTATGTTAGCAGATGAAGTGAGTTTTTTAAACCTGTGATAATAGATCGAAAATTTGATGACATACCCTATGCAACATGGCATTACATCATGATGTTTCTTTTGCACTATTGGCACCAATGGTCATGGTTAGAATTTTTGCTTTGCAAGTAGCACAGACGAGAAGCTTGGTTCACATGCGAAACATATCATATTGCAAGTGTTTGCTAGAATGCCAACTAAAATTATAAACGAGAATCACTTTGCTACATCTCAAAAGCTATTTCAAACATGTCACAAGAAAACCAGCTTTCTCCAGAGAAATGGCCATTGGCTAATTCTAATGGCATTCAGGTTGCACGAAAACCAGCTCTCATCAAACTCCCATGAGAATGATGACTTGCCATAGATTCAAGCACAGAGCTCCTGCTCCTTTCTGCCTCAGCCTCCTCCCCAAAACAGTAAACAGGAGCCTCCCACTTGGCATCCTCAAGCACAGCTCCCACCTCAAATGTCATCACATGAGCATTAAACCCTGCATATTCCATAAACCATTATCATCAAAGAAAATGAAAAACACCCTACTAGAGAACACAATTCCCATTTAATGAGAACACAATCTAATAGAGAATGTTGAACCCGTCAATCTAACAGCTACAAATACGTTACCATCAAATGCGAAATTCAGCCTTCAACAGGGGTTATAAAATTATCCCAATAAGCAACAACAAAAAGCTGAAATTGGTAAAGGGTGATGTTCTATGATCATATACCTGTGTAGAAGACCCAGTGGACAGGTCTCTTAGTGAGGACATCTTCATAGTACCAGATGAAGTCAACCTTCTCCCACACATTACACAGGAAACCATCCACGTGGCGCTGACCCAGATAAGTAGCACCATCAAGCCAGTTGGGCCGGAGAATGCCAACAGGGAAATGCAGGGTCTTGCATTCTTTGTTGGCGTCCAAGGTGTAGATGAAGGAGGTGCCATTGTCCCACTCCAGGTCGTAGGTTAGCTTCCCCAGCTGGCTCTGGATTATGTTGAAGTTTCGGCCTTTGGGCCAGTCGTACCAGAGGTCCACGATTTGCAAAGCTCCCTTGCTGTTGTTCATGAACAGGACAGAGTGGAATTGGTGGGGCCATGCTGCTGGTGCTGGGTCATCAGAGGCTGATTCTACCAATGTCTTCGTCATCAAAGGGAAATTGAGGGGGATCACAAGGAGGAGGAGGAAGAAGAGGAAAGACAGGGACTTGGGTTGAGTTGCAGAGGCCATTGTTGATGATGCTTCTCTTGGGTTCGTCTGTTAGTGCCACAAAGAAACGAGAGCCGTGAGGTTGTGGATTTTAATCCATTCAGAAAGCTATCCCCATTGAATATGATACTTTCTCATATGTAGCCAGCTAGAATGCAAAATTTCCATTTCCACCCACAAATTCTTTCGGGTATTTATAGTTGTACCACAAACCATTGATGGGTTACATTTTAGACTTCAATCCATGAACTATGCCTACGGAGGAGAAGAACACAACATATGTAAACAACACCATCTGAAAATTACCAAACTTTATTTTCTTTCATTATGAATACTGAAAAGTATGCAGATCCAAGACTGAGAATCTCAGATCAAGTGTATGAACTATATGCTATTTTACAATCTAAAATGAGAACCATGGGGCATATTTTATTGTATTGCCAATGTTATTTAAATTAAGACTAGGCATTAAAACTTTTACATTTTTCGTTGCAAACTCATTACAAATGAACGCACTATTTGGAATTTAGCTTGAAAAGGTGACGGCAGAACTACTGGTTCCCGGTTATAGGGCCGCCCTGGCCTTTCTTTATATCATCCCATCCTCTAACCCATGGCTGCCCAGGTGTTGCCCGTGTCTCTGGAGCAGCGTAGCTGTTCAGGTTGCTCGAGACCTTGTTGCGCAAAGCAGTAAAAACCTACAAAAACAGATCATTTGAATGAAAACTGAATCCATGAAGAATATCGCAAGAACTGGAATTTTAAATTTTAGATTATATCACACGAATAATATAGCAATAAATGGAATCTAAACTTTTTGATCATATCTCACAGGATTAGTCTTGAGTGCCTCAGGGGGTTGCTCCTGGCCACTTAACCACTTCCACAGATCTGGGTTTTCCTGCATAAGGGAAACATGATATCAGAAAAGAACATGAAAAGTTGAGCAAACGTCTCTCTCTCCCCATTCAACTAAGGCAACACCTTGCATCTTACCTCCAACTTGGCTTACATGTTATTTCAACTAGGATGAATTTGTTTTGTTTGAGAAGCTGTTGGATGATGAAAATCAAATGATTTAAAACATTGTATGTTTCTTACCAAACTGTTTGATTTCAAGTGCTTGAAAACTCCTGATGGTATACATACAATTCAACCCAAAAAAACCAAGTCATTTTTCTAATTCTCTTATTCAAAAGTGTAATAAACAGACTGAGAAACAGTGACAAGAAAGTGTAATTCAAAAACTGAAGGGCTAGAACCACGCCTACTCTCAAAAGCACTGGATCCCTTAAGCTGTTGTGAGTTAAATGCTCAGATCAGATTAATAAAAATCCTAAATTAAAAACGAAGGTCCTTAAATGCTGTGCTAACATATGCTGGGAATCAACATGAACAAGCACATCTGAGCTTATCTTCTATATGGAACATAAACTCACACCAGGCATTACTAGAATCCAGTAGATGTTAGGACACGTAAATATTAGCAGCAAAGCTTGTTTAAAATATATTAACAAACTTGCTATTTAAATTCCAAAGAACAAATGTTGAATGCGGCACATGATTCTCTGTATTTGTTACAGAATAACTAAAAATCATTTGAAAGGAAAGCACATCAAAAAAACAAAAAGGCAGCAAACTTTGCAAGGTATGAGATGATCAAAGCAATGGAAAGAAATTTACCAGGTCAAGGACGTCCACAAGAGATTTAATTCCATTTTCATCCATGGAATGGATATGCTCCTCCACCCATTTGCCCAGAACCAAATCCAGCTCCAAGAACCCTCTCTGCTTGCTCCTATATATTAGTCTGTTTCGCAACAAAAACCATGTTTGTTTCAGAAACACAAAAAGAAAAAAAAGAAAAAAAAAGAAAAAAAAGAGGCAGAACACCAAAAGGAAGAAGATGAAGATAGAGTTAGAGACCTGTTAAACAAGCGCCTCTTGCTCTCCTGGTTCGAGAGGTCGATATCGAGATTGCTGGTGGTGCTGATGGAATAAGAACGCTGAACCAAACCATACCCATATTGAGGCCTGGAAACGAAATCAAATTACCCATCAACAAAATCAAAGCCAATTCACAAAAAAGCCAACGGCTTTACGAATTATTATTAACAACGACGGCTGAAAACAAACAAACAGAGAAATACCTGAGAAGGGTTTCAGTGGGCGAGATTGAATTGCTGGATTTGAGGGCTCGGTGCAGGCTGATCAAGCTTCTTCTCAAGCTCCCCATATTTTCTTTTCTTGTTTTCAGAATGCTGTTGTGTTCCGTGTTGTGTGTTTAATCACAGAGCGCAAAGAAAAGAGAGAGAGAATAGAAATTATAGTGGTGGGCTTAATGACACCAACAATGCAAGGGCCTGTGCCCCGAATGGCGTCGTGGCCTTTCTCTGAGGAATCGGAGCTCCCACCACCCGGCTCCGACCCGATAACCATTCCCTTGATTTTATTGCAATCTCACTGCCTCTCTGTGTTTACTACAACTGCAACTCGTACCATTTCAATTGCACTGCCTATAGAGACTCGGCCACGGCCCAGATCTCCAGAATTTTGCGTATAAAACCTACTTCTTTTTTCTCTAATGATCAATTATGGAGACGGGAAATTGATCAAATGGGTTGAGTTGGATTTGTTTGGTTCATCGAGACATTTATCTGGATTTCAAAGAGAAGTGTCGAGCTATTCTCGGCCGTCGGCTTGTATCATATTGGCGCTGTAGTATATCACTCAACAAAAGAAAAAAGAAAAAGAAAAAGAAAGGAAGAAGATAAGTTGGGTTGTGTTGTGTTGTGATAAACAGCCCATAATTGCTTGGGCTATGGGCCAACACATATACATTTTCAAGATCTTTCAAAAGCCCGGCCGATAATAGTTTTCGGATCACGATGATCCAAATATTGTTATATGAACAACGATTTTTATTGATAGTCTGACATATTATGTTAGCAGATGAAGTGAGTTTTTTAAACCTGTGATAATAGATCGAAAATTTGATGACATACCCTATGCAACATGGCATTACATCATGATGTTTCTTTTGCACTATTGGCACCAATGGTCATGGTTAGAATTTTTGCTTTGCAAGTAGCACAGACGAGAAGCTTGGTTCACATGCGAAACATATCATATTGCAAGTGTTTGCTAGAATGCCAACTAAAATTATAAACGAGAATCACTTTGCTACATCTCAAAAGCTATTTCAAACATGTCACAAGAAAACCAGCTTTCTCCAGAGAAATGGCCATTGGCTAATTCTAATGGCATTCAGGTTGCACGAAAACCAGCTCTCATCAAACTCCCATGAGAATGATGACTTGCCATAGATTCAAGCACAGAGCTCCTGCTCCTTTCTGCCTCAGCCTCCTCCCCAAAACAGTAAACAGGAGCCTCCCACTTGGCATCCTCAAGCACAGCTCCCACCTCAAATGTCATCACATGAGCATTAAACCCTGCATATTCCATAAACCATTATCATCAAAGAAAATGAAAAACACCCTACTAGAGAACACAATTCCCATTTAATGAGAACACAATCTAATAGAGAATGTTGAACCCGTCAATCTAACAGCTACAAATACGTTACCATCAAATGCGAAATTCAGCCTTCAACAGGGGTTATAAAATTATCCCAATAAGCAACAACAAAAAGCTGAAATTGGTAAAGGGTGATGTTCTATGATCATATACCTGTGTAGAAGACCCAGTGGACAGGTCTCTTAGTGAGGACATCTTCATAGTACCAGATGAAGTCAACCTTCTCCCACACATTACACAGGAAACCATCCACGTGGCGCTGACCCAGATAAGTAGCACCATCAAGCCAGTTGGGCCGGAGAATGCCAACAGGGAAATGCAGGGTCTTGCATTCTTTGTTGGCGTCCAAGGTGTAGATGAAGGAGGTGCCATTGTCCCACTCCAGGTCGTAGGTTAGCTTCCCCAGCTGGCTCTGGATTATGTTGAAGTTTCGGCCTTTGGGCCAGTCGTACCAGAGGTCCACGATTTGCAAAGCTCCCTTGCTGTTGTTCATGAACAGGACAGAGTGGAATTGGTGGGGCCATGCTGCTGGTGCTGGGTCATCAGAGGCTGATTCTACCAATGTCTTCGTCATCAAAGGGAAATTGAGGGGGATCACAAGGAGGAGGAGGAAGAAGAGGAAAGACAGGGATTTGGGTTGAGTTGCAGAGGCCATTGTTGATGATGCTTCTCTTGGGTTCGTCTGTTAGTGCCACAAAGAAACGAGAGCCGTGAGGTTGTGGATTTTAATCCATTCAGAAAGCTATCCCCATTGAATATGATACTTTCTCATATGTAGCCAGCTAGAATGCAAAATTTCCATTTCCACCCACAAATTCTTTCGGGTATTTATAGTTGTACCACAAACCATTGATGGGTTACATTTTAGACTTCAATCCATGAACTATGCCTACGGAGGAGAAGAACACAACATATGTAAACAACACCATCTGAAAATTACCAAACTTTATTTTCTTTCATTATGAATACTGAAAAGTATGCAGATCCAAGACTGAGAATCTCAGATCAAGTGTATGAACTATATGCTATTTTACAATCTAAAATGAGAACCATGGGGCATATTTTATTGTATTGCCAATGTTATTTAAATTAAGACTAGGCATTAAAACTTTTACATTTTTCGTTGCAAACTCATTACAAATGAACGCACTATTTGGAATTTAGCTTGAAAAGGTGACGGCAGAACTACTGGTTCCCGGTTATAGGGCCGCCCTGGCCTTTCTTTATATCATCCCATCCTCTAACCCATGGCTGCCCAGGTGTTGCCCGTGTCTCTGGAGCAGCGTAGCTGTTCAGGTTGCTCGAGACCTTGTTGCGCAAAGCAGTAAAAACCTACAAAAACAGATCATTTGAATGAAAACTGAATCCATGAAGAATATCGCAAGAACTGGAATTTTAAATTTTAGATTATATCACACGAATAATATAGCAATAAATGGAATCTAAACTTTTTGATCATATCTCACAGGATTAGTCTTGAGTGCCTCAGGGGGTTGCTCCTGGCCACTTAACCACTTCCACAGATCTGGGTTTTCCTGCATAAGGGAAACATGATATCAGAAAAGAACATGAAAAGTTGAGCAAACGTCTCTCTCTCCCCATTCAACTAAGGCAACACCTTGCATCTTACCTCCAACTTGGCTTACATGTTATTTCAACTAGGATGAATTTGTTTTGTTTGAGAAGCTGTTGGATGATGAAAATCAAATGATTTAAAACATTGTATGTTTCTTACCAAACTGTTTGATTTCAAGTGCTTGAAAACTCCTGATGGTATACATACAATTCAACCCAAAAAAACCAAGTCATTTATCTAATTCTCTTATTCAAAAGTGTAATAAACAGACTGAGAAACAGTGACAAGAAAGTGTAATTCAAAAACTGAAGGGCTAGAACCACGCCTACTCTCAAAAGCACTGGATCCCTTAAGCTGTTGTGAGTTAAATGCTCAGATCAGATTAATAAAAATCCTAAATTAAAAACGAAGGTCCTTAAATGCTGTGCTAACATATGCTGGGAATCAACATGAACAAGCACATCTGAGCTTATCTTCTATATGGAACATAAACTCACACCAGGCATTACTAGAATCCAGTAGATGTTAGGACACGTAAATATTAGCAGCAAAGCTTGTTTAAAATATATTAACAAACTTGCTATTTAAATTCCAAAGAACAAATGTTGAATGCGGCACATGATTCTCTGTATTTGTTACAGAATAACTAAAAATCATTTGAAAGGAAAGCACATAAAAAAAACAAAAAGGCAGCAAACTTTGCAAGGTATGAGATGATCAAAGCAATGGAAAGAAATTTACCAGGTCAAGGACGTCCACAAGAGATTTAATTCCATTTTCATCCATGGAATGGATATGCTCCTCCACCCATTTGCCCAGAACCAAATCCAGCTCCAAGAACCCTCTCTGCTTGCTCCTATATATTAGTCTGTTTCGCAACAAAAACCATGTTTGTTTCAGAAACACAAAAAGAAAAAAAAGAAAAAAAAAGAAAAAAAAGAGGCAGAACACCAAAAGGAAGAAGATGAAGATAGAGTTAGAGACCTGTTAAACAAGCGCCTCTTGCTCTCCTGGTTCGAGAGGTCGATATCGAGATTGCTGGTGGTGCTGATGGAATAAGAACGCTGAACCAAACCATACCCATATTGAGGCCTGGAAACGAAATCAAATTACCCATCAACAAAATCAAAGCCAATTCACAAAAAAGCCAACGGCTTTACGAATTATTATTAACAACGACGGCTGAAAACAAAAAAACAGAGAAATACCTGAGAAGGGTTTCAGTAGGCGAGATTGAATTGCTGGATTTGAGGGCTCGGTGCAGGCTGATCAAGCTTCTTCTCAAGCTCCCCATATTTTCTTTTCTTGTTTTCAGAATGCTGTTGTGTTCCGTGTTGTGTGTTTAATCACAGAGCGCAAAGAAAAGAGAGAGAGAATAGAAATTATAGTGGTGGGCTTAATGACACCAACAATGCAAGGGCCTGTGCCCCGAATGGCGTCGTGGCCTTTCTTCGTCCATATGGTTATGGCATCAAAAATCAATTCATGTGCTGCGTGACCGAAACTTTTTATGTTTGTCCTCAGTCTTTTTCCTTTCTCTAACCAAAAAGAAAACTTTGGTTGATCTTGTATTTTATTACTGATTGTCGTAATTAATTTTTGGGAACATGATAAACATTGCAATCCAAGGAGTAAACAAAGTGAACTTCAAGTATGATTCATCTGATCTGAGTTTGTTGAATTTCTTGTATTTTGGCTCCACCAAGACATAATTCTAGTATGATTAGCTAGTATGATTAGATTTTGCTACGTTTCTTTGGTGGCTAGGCATACAATCTTTTTATTTGTTGCATACGTATAATCAGCAATGCGTCATAACCCCCCCAAAAGATCTCAAACACCAAGAAAATTCAAATGTTCTTGGAAGCAAGTACTGGTAGAGCAGAATTGGACCAAAATAATAGATAAGAAGTGTTATTTCCTAACACAACACCAATTTTGTTTATAGATGCAACAAGGAAAATCACTTGAATTAACATGTAACCCTAAATGAAAGAAACAGAGGCATAACAATCACTAGAGTGAAGACTTCCCCAACTTAATCTAGTCTTAGTCCCAATTAGTAAACAAGATTGGGAACAAAACGGTGAAAAGATTCGAGCACCGGATGATACAGAAGAACGTGGCATACCCTTGTCGACATCACTCACATTGGATCGTCCATCCTATCCATCTACATCCTACAGTGAGTTGATGGCTCTGTTCTTCAACTGAATTCATGAGGTATTCCCTCATGGCGTATTGTAGTGCTGAAGATATATTTTGCATTAAAACTTTCACTTTCATTTTGGCTGTAGCGGAAAGGAAGTCCATAATGAAGCAATTGAAGTATTTCACAAAATCTGTTAGTCTTTAGCCAGACTACCTTAGAAACTTATCTCCCGTCTCTCAGCGAAAAATTTCCCTGTTACTGCTTGGTCTGGAAGCAAGGCAAGCCATACTGCAGTGTCAGCTCCATCTTCAGCTGAAATATTCCCAGCATAACCTGTCATAGCAGTCTTGACCCAACCTGGGCAGTAACAGTTGATATAAATTTTCTCACCCTCTGGTCTCTCTGAAAATATCCTCGCCATTAGCCTGGTATAAGTGTTGACTGCAAGCTTTGATACTGAGTAGTCAGTGAACGTTTTAGGCCACCCACCTGATTCCCAAGTGCCCTCTTGTACTTGTTGTAGAAAAGTCGAAACTGTTTGATCAGCTATTTTACAATCTAAAATGAGAACCATGGGGCATATTTCATGAGACGAGATAGAAGACACTCATACCTTTTTGTTTTATTGTATTGCCAATGTTATTTAAATTAAGACTAGGCATTAAAACTTTTACATTTTTCGTTGCAAACTCATTACAAATGACTATTTTACAATCTAAAATGAGAACCATGGGGCATATTTTATTGTATTGCCAATGTTATTTAAATTAAGACTAGGCATTAAAACTTTTACATTTTTCGTTGCAAACTCATTACAAATGAACGCACTATTTGGAATTTAGCTTGAAAAGGTGACGGCAGAACTACTGGTTCCCGGTTATAGGGCCGCCCTGGCCTTTCTTTATATCATCCCATCCTCTAACCCATGGCTGCCCAGGTGTTGCCCGTGTCTCTGGAGCAGCGTAGCTGTTCAGGTTGCTCGAGACCTTGTTGCGCAAAGCAGTAAAAACCTACAAAAACAGATCATTTGAATGAAAACTGAATCCATGAAGAATATCGCAAGAACTGGAATTTTAAATTTTAGATTATATCACACGAATAATATAGCAATAAATGGAATCTAAACTTTTTGATCATATCTCACAGGATTAGTCTTGAGTGCCTCAGGGGGTTGCTCCTGGCCACTTAACCACTTCCACAGATCTGGGTTTTCCTGCATAAGGGAAACATGATATCAGAAAAGAACATGAAAAGTTGAGCAAACGTCTCTCTCTCCCCATTCAACTAAGGCAACACCTTGCATCTTACCTCCAACTTGGCTTACATGTTATTTCAACTAGGATGAATTTGTTTTGTTTGAGAAGCTGTTGGATGATGAAAATCAAATGATTTAAAACATTGTATGTTTCTTACCAAACTGTTTGATTTCAAGTGCTTGAAAACTCCTGATGGTATACATACAATTCAACCCAAAAAAACCAAGTCATTTATCTAATTCTCTTATTCAAAAGTGTAATAAACAGACTGAGAAACAGTGACAAGAAAGTGTAATTCAAAAACTGAAGGGCTAGAACCACGCCTACTCTCAAAAGCACTGGATCCCTTAAGCTGTTGTGAGTTAAATGCTCAGATCAGATTAATAAAAATCCTAAATTAAAAACGAAGGTCCTTAAATGCTGTGCTAACATATGCTGGGAATCAACATGAACAAGCACATCTGAGCTTATCTTCTATATGGAACATAAACTCACACCAGGCATTACTAGAATCCAGTAGATGTTAGGACACGTAAATATTAGCAGCAAAGCTTGTTTAAAATATATTAACAAACTTGCTATTTAAATTCCAAAGAACAAATGTTGAATGCGGCACATGATTCTCTGTATTTGTTACAGAATAACTAAAAATCATTTGAAAGGAAAGCACATAAAAAAAACAAAAAGGCAGCAAACTTTGCAAGGTATGAGATGATCAAAGCAATGGAAAGAAATTTACCAGGTCAAGGACGTCCACAAGAGATTTAATTCCATTTTCATCCATGGAATGGATATGCTCCTCCACCCATTTGCCCAGAACCAAATCCAGCTCCAAGAACCCTCTCTGCTTGCTCCTATATATTAGTCTGTTTCGCAACAAAAACCATGTTTGTTTCAGAAACACAAAAAGAAAAAAAACATATTGAGGCCTGGAAACGAAATCAAATTACCCATCAACAAAATCAAAGCCAATTCACAAAAAAGCCAACGGCTTTACGAATTATTATTAACAACGACGGCTGAAAACAAAAAAACAGAGAAATACCTGAGAAGGGTTTCAGTAGGCGAGATTGAATTGCTGGATTTGAGGGCTCGGTGCAGGCTGATCAAGCTTCTTCTCAAGCTCCCCATATTTTCTTTTCTTGTTTTCAGAATGCTGTTGTGTTCCGTGTTGTGTGTTTAATCACAGAGCGCAAAGAAAAGAGAGAGAGAATAGAAATTATAGTGGTGGGCTTAATGACACCAACAATGCAAGGGCCTGTGCCCCGAATGGCGTCGTGGCCTTTCTTCGTCCATATGGTTATGGCATCAAAAATCAATTCATGTGCTGCGTGACCGAAACTTTTTATGTTTGTCCTCAGTCTTTTTCCTTTCTCTAACCAAAAAGAAAACTTTGGTTGATCTTGTATTTTATTACTGATTGTCGTAATTAATTTTTGGGAACATGATAAACATTGCAATCCAAGGAGTAAACAAAGTGAACTTCAAGTATGATTCATCTGATCTGAGTTTGTTGAATTTCTTGTATTTTGGCTCCACCAAGACATAATTCTAGTATGATTAGCTAGTATGATTAGATTTTGCTACGTTTCTTTGGTGGCTAGGCATACAATCTTTTTATTTGTTGCATACGTATAATCAGCAATGCGTCATAACCCCCCCAAAAGATCTCAAACACCAAGAAAATTCAAATGTTCTTGGAAGCAAGTACTGGTAGAGCAGAATTGGACCAAAATAATAGATAAGAAGTGTTATTTCCTAACACAACACCAATTTTGTTTATAGATGCAACAAGGAAAATCACTTGAATTAACATGTAACCCTAAATGAAAGAAACAGAGGCATAACAATCACTAGAGTGAAGACTTCCCCAACTTAATCTAGTCTTAGTCCCAATTAGTAAACAAGATTGGGAACAAAACGGTGCTTAAAAGATTCGAGCTCCGGATGATACAGAAGAACGTGGCATACCCTTGTCGACATCACTCACATTGGATCGTCCATCCTATCCATCTACATCCTACAGTGAGTTGATGGCTCTGTTCTTCAACTGAATTCATGAGGTATTCCCTCATGGCGTATTGTAGTGCTGAAGATATATTTTGCATTAAAACTTTCACTTTCATTTTGGCTGTAGCGGAAAGGAAGTCCATAATGAAGCAATTGAAGTATTTCACAAAATCTGTTAGTCTTTAGCCAGACTACCTTAGAAACTTATCTCCCGTCTCTCAGCGAAAAATTTCCCTGTTACTGCTTGGTCTGGAAGCAAGGCAAGCCATACTGCAGTGTCAGCTCCATCTTCAGCTGAAATATTCCCAGCATAACCTGTCATAGCAGTCTTGACCCAACCTGGGCAGTAACAGTTGATATAAATTTTCTCACCCTCTGGTCTCTCTGAAAATATCCTCGCCATTAGCCTGGTATAAGTGTTGACTGCAAGCTTTGATACTGAGTAGTCAGTGAACGTTTTAGGCCACCCACCTGATTCCCAAGTGCCCTCTTGTACTTGTTGTAGAAAAGTCGAAACTGTTTGATCAATCATTTCTTCTGTGAGTGTGTCAATATTGCTAAGTTTCTCTCTCAAATTCGCATCTTCAAGTTTCTGCCAATTAAATAATAGTCTGACATGGTCAGGGAAACATGTATAAATTTTGTTAAGCTTGGTTGTGAACTTGGACAAATATCCTAACCAAGAACAAATGAAGTAAAAAAAATAATGGCTGGAGTATAAAATGAAATTCAAAGTAAAGTACAACCAGAAGAAAAAACAGAACTACAAGACTGAATATACATAAGCAAAGTAATCAAACTTAGAAATATGAGGAGAGAGAACGAACGAAAAAATCTTAATAAAACTGCAGCAAATCAAGGTGTTTGTGTGATATCTGGAGAGTTGTTCCTCTAACATTAGTTGGAGACTATGCCGAAATGGGAACGCACTATTTGGAATTTAGCTTGAAAAGGTGACGGCAGAACTACTGGTTCCCGGTTATAGGGCCGCCCTGGCCTTTCTTTATATCATCCCATCCTCTA